CACATGTTATTAATTTGTATATATATTAATAATTGAAAAAATTCCATCAATTCCCTTTAAGTATATTTAAATCATATTTTTATAAATATTACATTATTAAGTAAATATTAATTTATTTGGAAGTTAATATATTTATAAATAATTATCTTTAGTAATTAATAATTTTGTTCTTTTATTTGTTTTGTATGTAATTCTTAATAAAATAAAATTCAAGTTTGGTAAAATACAGAATAAGACATTAATTAATTGATGTTATTTAATTTGCATTAATTAAGCTAAAATTTATTAATATAGTTAATTAATATCAACAAATATGGTGGAAGTATGCAAACAAATATTAGCAACAAGGCATACGTTGCTGAAAACTAGGGAATGTACTATTCCTAAACTTTCAGCAACATGGCTCTTGTTGCTGAAAGCTTGTTGCTGAAAATGGAACGTTGCTGAAAGTGGAATAGGAAAACCACCTAAAAAAACCACCATTTCCCTTAAACTTTCAGCAACATAAGTCACGTTGTTGAAATTTTAGTTTTAGCAACGTGGCTTATGTTGTTGAAAAAATTCAAAACATTGATCGGACTTTCTACCGGAATTTGGCAAAACTTTTAGCAATATGAGGCATGTTGTTGAAACTATATTTTCAGCAATGTGCCTTATGTTGCTAATACATAACCAACAAGCTCCATGTTGCTAATGTATCACCCACCAAGGCATTTCCAACAAAGGTTTTAGCAACTAGAGGCATGTTGTTGAAAGAGTTTCAGCAACATATGAACCATTTTCAGCAACATGAAAGCATGTTGTTGAAAATAGAAAATTTAGTAGTGCAATTTAATATATAGGATGCGAACGCGCAGAATCAAAAGCTTAAAGGTAATTGACAATTTATAAAAGCATTTTTTTTTAATATAGTACGGGGGAATTATGGGGGACGGGGTATTTTTATAACGTAAAGAGTGGGACTTGAACTCTTGCCTCCACTATAAATAACTTAGTTTAAATCTCAAGTTTTTTTTTTTTTTTTTTTTTGTACAGCAAAATGATTTTATTAAGTGGAGTACAAGGGATACTTCTACCCTTAGTACAAAAGAAACTTACATTGAGCATCTCTTGACTACAGCTTACTTTCTCCACTAGATCAACAGTAGATAGAAGAGCTATAGTCAATAGCTGCTCAATGAAGCCTTAATGAACCATCTGAACACTTTTACATGAAATGCAAGAAAACTTGTGCATACCCACCAAGGCCCCGCCACCCCTCACTCGTGATTTTGAGGCAACTTCTGTTTCCTTGTTGTTGACTTCATGCATAATCTTGGCTCTCGAGACCATTCATAGAAATTGAAGTAGCATTTGTCCAACTTCCCTTTAATCCAATGGAATGATCTTAGTTGCACTAGTTCAAATAATTTTTCACCATCCATTTGGCCATCCTTAAAGACTTTTTCATTCTGTGCTAGCCAATTGACCAGATGCATGCAATCCAAACAGTCCTCCATCCAGTGCTTGATCTGCTGGTTGTATCCAAATTGCATAGCAGGTTTAAGGCTTGGTTACAATTCCATGGTATAGCTGAAGGCAACCCCCACCATGCTAAACATTTCATCCACATTGCGTATATTATATCACAGTGTAAAAATAAATGACTAGAGCTTTCCACATTCAACCCACAAAACCCGCAAGTACAGTGTCCTATGTTTTCCAAAATCCCTCTTTTCCATAGGTTTAATCTAGTTGGGATCCTGTCAAGATATAATTGCCAAAGGAAAGCTTTAGTCTTACTTGGTGCATTGGAGTTCCACAATGATTTGAAGAAGCTGTCTGTTGTTGGTACTACTATATTTAAAGCCAAGTATCCTATCTTCGCTGAGTATTTGCCTTCATTGCTGCAGCTCCACACCCAAGTGTCTGTCTTTAATTATATAACTGAAGTGGGCAACAATGTTGACTCAAGTTCTTGCTTTTGTTCTACCTCCCATGACAACAAGTTGCGTCTCCAATTTAATCTCCAAGACAAAAAGCCTTCCATCCAAGTGCCCATTTGACACACTCTAGCTTATTTGCCTGTTAATAACATAAAAAGTCTAGGATATTTGTCAGCAAGAGATTCTTATCCCAGCCATTTATTAGTCCAGAATTGCACCTAATTCCCCTCACCTAATTCACACCTAAACCCATCTTCCAGCCAACCCGTTCTATCTATTTCCAATCCATTCAATCTACACACATCCCTCCACCAAATCGAACCTAACCCTTTACCCTCCCTCATCCAACTAATCCAATTCCCACCAGCATTTCCATATTTCTCCATAATGACCCTCTACCACAGACAATTCCCCCCATTTGCAAGTTTATCCCACCACTTTCCCAACAATGCCAAATTAAAATTTTTGAGATTTTTTATGCCTAATCCCCCCTTTGATTTACTAGTACAAACATGATCCCATTTTACCCAGTTAATCTTTTTACCTCCCTCACAACCTCCCCATAAAAAGCCCCTCCTAATTTTGTTGATAAGATGGATAATACCTTTTGGCAAAAGATAGACAGACATGAGAAAAACTGGTAGACTGGATAGCACAGAATTGATGAGAGTTATACGGCCACCAAGAGATAAATAATGACCTTTCCATGTAGACAACATTTTTCTGAAAGTTTCCACAAGTGGCTTCCAAAAAGCCAAGTTCCTTGGACTACCTCCGATTGATATCCCCAAGTATTTGAAAGGGGTCGCACATATTTTGCAGTTGAGTATGTATGCCATCTTACAAAGTCATTCCTCATAAACATTTATCCCTACCAGCATGCTCTTTTTAAAGTTTATCTTTAAGCCAGAGACGAGCTCAAATGCTCACATGATGCTTTTAGCAACCCACACATTTTCTTCTGTTGCGTGACCAAAGAGGATCATATCATCAGCAAATTGTAGATAAGAGATGGTAAAATCACCGATCCCGACATTCACCCCTTTGAACAATTGCTGAGAAATAGCCAACTGAATTAAGCCATTCAAACCTTCTGCCACGATTAGGAATAGAAACGGGGAAAGTGGATCTCCCTGTCTGAGCCCCCGTTGAACTTAAAACTGCCTTATAGCACTTCCATTTACTAGAATTGACACTGAGCTTGAATGAAGACACTCCATAATCCACCTTCTCCATTGTTCATGAAACCCCATACTCATCGTCATGAATTCTAAAAAGTTCCATGATACCTTGTCGTAAGCTTTTTCAAAATCTACTTTAAAAGCAAAGGTCTTCAATTTCTTCCTTTTCACTTCATCCAAAACCTCGTTGGCAATCACCACACCCTCACTCAGTTGTCTTCCACTTAAAAATGCCATATGTTATTCTCCTATCAAGCCATCCATTACTTGCCAAAGTCTATTTGCTAATAACTTGGCAATTATTTTATACATAGAGTGGATTAATGAGATTGGCTTGAATTTGTCAATTTTTTGGGGGTTTTCTGTCTTTGGCAGGAGTACTAAAAAAGAAGTGTTTAGCCCTTTGTTCAGCTTCCTAGATTCATGGAATTCATGGACGAAACCTAAAATATCCTCTTTCATCACATCCCACATCCTCTTGATCAAATGAAGTTAAAGCCGTCAGGGCTTGGTGCTTTGGAGCTATCACACTCCCAAATAACCCATCTTGCCTTTTCCTCAAACTAAGATGTCAATGCCTCATTTTGTTCTATTGATAGTTGTTTGAAATGCAAGCCTTGTAATGCCAGTTGTACCAAATCTTCCTCCATGAACATCTTCTCAAAGTGTGTAGCTATTTCTTCTTTAATCTTGTCAACTCCATGAAAATTATTGTCATCAATCCATATACTGTTGATCTCATTTCTTCTCCACCTTCCTTTTGCACATTCGTGAAAGAAATGTGTATTTGCATCTCCATCTTTAATCCACTCTTTTCTAGCTTTTTGTCTCCACATCCTCTCCTTGGTCATCAAACGATTCCAGAGTTATAACTGGTTGTTCTTCCTTATATCCTTCTCTGCCTCTGATAGTTGTCGTGATTCGCCAATCAAGTCTAACTTTTCAATATTCTCCTTGGCAAGATTTATTCTGTTATCTACTTTTGGCATAATATTCTTACTTTGGTTCTTCAAAAAAGCTTTTAATTTCTTGAGTTTTTCTTTCAGAATAAAGCTTCTCCTTCCTTGAATAGTTAATGACCTCCATGTTCTAGTTATAGACTCTTGGAAATCAGGTTGATCAAACCAAGCATCAAATACTTTGAATGGTTTTGGTCCCCAATCAATCTTTTCATCTTTCAACAGAATAGGACAACGGTCTGAGATTGATCTTTTTAACCCCCATTGTTTAACTTCCCCCCAATTCAACAGCCATTCCTCACTTAAGAGAAATCTGTCTAATCTGCTCATAGAATTTATATTTGAGTGATAACAAGTGAACTTCCTCCCGATTAGTGGCAGATCTTGCAACTCAATTTCTAATATGAATTCATCAAATTCCTTTAGTTCACACTGTTGTCTCCTACTTCCAGCAAATTCCTCCTTGCACCTGACTGCATTAAAATCTCCCATAACACACCAGTTGCCCTTTTGTTCATGGATCAACCTTTTCAGATCTTCCCATAACCTCCTTTTGCCGTGCATCTCACATGGTGCATAAACATTCACAATATTCACAGGTGTCTCTTCAAGCCCACAAAACCCGAATACCCCAATGTAACCGTCACCTTCAAAGATCTTATGCTTCTTAAAGACATCAGAATTTCAGACGCTAATAAGCCCATTAGATTGTCCTTTTGCTTGTTTTGTAATCCAATCCATGTTCTCAAAACCCCAGATGCTTCTACATAGCTTTTTATCTACATGCTCAAGCTTTGATTCTTGAATTGCTACAAACTCAACTCTCTTTTATTAACAATTCCCTCAATTCCCTCTTCTTCCCATCCCCCCCCCCAATCCTCTAGCATTTAGTGATAATAAAATCATTGGGATTTAGTGTTACCTCTCCTCCCACTAGCTACATGCATATTTGCCTCTGTTTTCCATCCTTTCTTATCCCTTTGTTCCATCTCTTCCAGCTATTGCACAACTTCACACTCGTTGCCCACAGCCACCACCCCAATTTTCTTGGCTATATTCCATATTTTCGCTGCCCCACCCAATTCCGCTTCCTTCGATATATCTCTATTGCAGTTTGTTATTTCACTGTCTCCAATTGATTCCCTTGCCACCTTGTTGTCTTTGCTGAAAAAAACTGGAATTTTATCTTTCGAACCTGGCTTTCTGTGCTGTTTCTTCTTCCTTCCATTTCGCGCTGCATGTCGAAATATAATAGGAGCACTTCTATACACAGATGCACGAGATCGAGCCTTTCTAACCTTTCTTTTCTTCGGACCACAGCTCTTTCTCCTTTCCATCCATTCTTCGAGCCTTCCTGAATCACTTTCAAGTCCTTCCCAGAAGGATTTTTCTGAATCTCTTTCCACTCCTCCATCAGATTTGAAAGACGATTCTCTATTCAATGTTCCTCTTTGTCTTCCTCTAGAATCCTCCTTTTTATCCATTTTGGCTTGATTCTCGATAGAGTGGGCTTCCTCACAGACTTCGCAAGTGTCTTCATCAAATCTTGGATTTATATTTTCTATTGGCCTGTTTGAATTGTAAAGAGGTGCTAGGCTTTCCTCATCCAGCCCATTTTGAATACTTAATTTCTCAAGCCCATTTTCAACACAAAGTCCCCCTTTTGAATCCTTTCTCCTACCCATGCAAGTCATCACTTGCGTCTCCAACAAGCTGTCAGCTACAATCCCCCCTACTCCTGATTCATTTCCCATGCTTCTAGGTGGCTGGTAGGTACTTGCTTTTGTATCCCCAAAGTTTGATTCAAAAGCCTGACACACAACGTTCATGTGGACGGGAAGATTTACCGATGATTCATCCACCACTGTATCTCTTGCTGCCACATCATCATCTTTCTTGTGAGTACTATCACTTGAGAAGACAGTTTGCATTGCTTCAACCAGTTCATCTACAATGGCTTCCTCATCTGCATATCCCATAGACTATGATTCATCATCTTCCTCTTCAGAGTTTGATGCAAAGCACGGTTTGAAGTCTGTTTTCATATTGAAAATGCCATTTGCTGAATCTTCTTCAGTTATCTTCCAATTCAATAGCCTACCGTCCACCTTTATTTGGAGTTTCTTTGAAATAAACTCCATTGCAGATGTTGAAATGACGAATCTTCCAATATTGAATCTTTTCCGTCCACTTGTGCTATCATCTAAGCATATAAATTTCCCCCAAATGATAGCAATGGTTGCAAAGAATTCTTCCCCCCAAGCTTGCACAGGAGCTCCTTGGCATCTCAACCAAACGAACCTTTCGCTTGCGATTACTTCCGATGACCATGGTCTGACATCCTGAAACCACTGACTTAGCCAATCTTTACCCAGCTCTACAAGATCCTTTAACTCCTATTTATCTTTGCAGTCCAAGAGCACAAGCTTTCCTCCCATTGGTCTAATTGAACACCAAAAATATGCTTCCATATAAAACTTTTCCTACAAGTTCGGTACTGCCTCTACTGAACATGTTGTGCCAATATAGCAACCTTCGAGCCAAGTTCGATCTTCCTTCTTAGTGTTGAATACCAACCCAGAACCTGCTTCCTTATTTCTTACTTGCCAAACCTGATCCTTTCTCAACCCAAGCTTGGAAGGTTGTCTCTATTCTAGATCTGCCCGAGTTTCTGTTGTTCCTTTCAATGCTTCAGCATAAGATGCCTTTCTTGGCTTGTCAACCCCTGTGTCTTTTCTCGGCAATTGCTTTTTCATGGAGTCTTCCCTACTAAATTTCACCTTGTTCACCCACAGTTTGTATTTGCCGATCCTTATTTGGTCTAGATGTCTTTCCAGTTCCCATTCATTTCTGACATCCAGGAAACGCACAAACCCAAAGCGCTTTCCAGATCTGTCCTTCCTTGGTGGGCTATAGATTACAAGGACCCTGCCGAATTTCTTGAAGGTTCCCCACATTTCTACATGGCTCCAATCCTCAGGAAAATTGGTGAAAAAGTATGCCACTACCTAGTTGTATGGGATCTTGTCATATCCCCAAGGAACAAACTCCCTCTGGCTCTTCCTTTTCGTTCTTATACCATACTGCCTTTCATCTGATCTCTATCTGCCAACAAACTCCCAACTCTATGCCATCTGTCGAACCTTAGTTCTCTGTCTGTCCGTCTGCCTCACTCTCGCTTTCCCTCTCATTTTTTGGATGATCAATCTTTTTCATGGAGACGTAGATGGGACTGGGTTGTGAGTAATCTTCATCTTTTGTATTTTTGAAAGAATACTCTTTCCCTCTAGTTTAAATCTCAAGTTAACAAAGGACTTAACTATTTTAATGGTTTTGAATGCAATTGTGACTTTTTGGAGAATCAAAATAAATTGAGTGCAATAGAAGTTTGGAATCTTTTTATTTTTTTCTTATCAGCAAAGCAAAATGAGAGATATATTATAAAGTAGTATAACAAATACTCCCAGAGCAAATACAATCTGGTAAACTAAAGTTTCACATCCGACTTTATAACCTACAGCAATGAAATACAATATAGCTCAAAATATACCAGAAAACGAAAGGAAAAGAAAACATTCTATGCCGCTTTCAGCACCTTGTAACATTTCAATTTTTACGGTATTGCACAATGGTATCCCTACAATCTATAAGCCTTGAAATCCAATTTTCATAAGAGAACACACAACTAACCTCTTTATTTTTGAGCCAACAAAAAGATTTAAACTGAATAGTCTCCAACAAACTTTCCTCCAATACCATATATGTTCTAAAGACCTTCATATTCCTCCAATACCAAATAACCCAAGCCACAATCAGGAAAATAAACACTCCCAAATTCTTCATCCTTCCCCTCCAAAGGCTCCAATGTCCTATACTATAGCTCCTACCAAACCAAATATATTATTAGGCAATACACCCTGTAAATCCCACCACCCCAAAACCTTCATCCACACTAACCACATCCCTTTACACTCACAAAAAATATGATAAAGCTGCTCCACATCCTCCCTACACACTCCACAACTAACATCCCCACCCTTCAAAAACACTATTCTCTTGCACAAATTCACCTTAGTCAGCAACCTGTGCAAAAATAATCTCCATCCAAAAACAGTTACTATAGAGGGAACATACTTGCACCATTTCTTATCAAGAATACCATTCTTTGGTGTTAAAAACTCATAAGCAACCTTCACAGAATACACACCATCACTACTATGAACCCATCTCCAAGAATCAGGTTTATCTTTCCTCACCTAAACCCCATTAATCATCTCCCTAAGTTGTTCATCCTCATCACTAGCCCTGCCTAAACATACTCGCCTCCACCTACAATCCCACACCCAATTATCTCCACTCCAGAACCCCATATCCTTCACCAACCCCTCCTTAACCATTGTTAACGCAAACAACCCTAGAAATAAATTTTTTAGAGACTTTTCCCTCACCCACTTATCTCCCCAAAAGCCCACACAACTTTCATCTCCAATTTGCCATTTGAAACCCTCTAGTAACATGGAAACCAACCTTTCTGACCACTACCCACACTCACAATATCCTTCCACACTCTAGACATATTCCAATAACCAAATGAAATAACATCTGTACTTTCCTACCCCCATAATATTTCTCCTAAATCACTCTTTTCCATAAACCCTCAATCTCATCCCCAAAGCAAAACCACCATTTGCCTGATAAAGCCTAATTTCTCCTCTCTAAATCAGCCACCCCCAATCCCCCTCTCTCCTTATCCACACAAATATAGTACCAACACACCCACACTATTTTCCTCTCTAAATTTGCTCCATCCCAAAAAAAACTTCCTTTGGATCTTAATCATCTTAACCAGAACACATTTCGAAATTTTAAATAAAGACATATAACAAACCATACACATGACTCTTGCCAAAATTAATTTTTAAACTAGAAATCAGCTCGAACTAGTGCAAAATAGCCTTCACTAGCCTTAAATTCTCCACATTTGCCTTTCTCATGAATACAGTATCATTAGCAAATTGCAATAAAGACACCACCATCCCACGGTCACCTATTTCCACACCTCTTCATATCCCTTCTTCTATGGCTTTTCTCACAAGACCAGCTAAACCTTCTCCAATCAATAGAAACAAAAAAGAGGACAAAGGATCACCTTGATGAAGACCCTTACCAACCGAGAACTCCTTTGTCGAGCTTCCATTAATTAAAGTAGATAACCTAGTTGTTGAAAGACATTCGTGAATCCACTTCCTCTACTTACCCCAAACCCCATTCTATCCATCATCCAATCAAGGAAAGACTAATCCACACAATCATATGCCTTCTCAAAATCAACCTTAAAAATAAATCTCTTTTGTTTCCTCTTTTTCACATAATCCACAACCTCATTCAACACCAGCACACTATCCACTAATTGTCGACCACCAACAAAAGTAGATTGTGACTCACTAATTAGATTTGCCATTATAGTCTTCAATCGATTGGCCAATATTTTAGCCAATGGTTATACAAACACCCAATCAAACAAATAGGTTGATACTCTTTGAAATGTACATGATTTAATTTCTTCAGTATTAATGCTAAAAATAAAGAATTTAAACCACGCACTAACCTCCCATGCAAGTGAAAGTCCTTCAAAAAATCCACAAAATTATCCTTGAAAGTGCTCCACATTAACTTTATAAAATTAAAATTAAAACTATCCGGACCCGGTGCTTGTGACTCGTCACAACTCTAAAGACCCTCTTGTATTTCTTCAGAGTTGTGATGGGTCAAAGGCATCGGGTCTGGATGATTTGGAATCTTGTTTGGAATCTTAATACCAGCACACTATGCCATGAATTAAAGGGCCATCCTCTATCAGTTGAGTATCCAACTAAGAATTATTTTGCATTAAAGAAGAAATTTTTTTTTCCATGCATCATAATTCAGTTACCTAGCTAATTGTATAAAGGTTTGAAAACTTTAACTTTAACCTCGAATTGAGGATTAGCATGATTTTTAGTATATTCCTATGTTTCCATCCTATTTATTTGTCACTCTTTGGTTATGCACACATTTTTAAAGAACACATTTATATAATATATGAATGACACTTTGAAAACAAAAATTTTACTATTCATGGTTCTTGTTAAGTTCAAATGATATTTATACACGGTAAAAATATATTACTATAAAAATGTACTATTATTACCCAAAAATATATGCCAAGCCAAAGTGTGACATGGTTATATCCACAGATTAATTTATTAATTCATCTTCTTTTGGGAGACTAATTGATGTATTTTTTGATTCAACATACTACATAATGTATTCATTAAAAATTATTATTATTTTATTTAAAATTAAATATAGACAAATTTAAAAATATAGTCTTGCATATAATATGCAGGAACTTTATAAAGCAGTTGAACTTATATAATAATTGAACTGAACAAATGTCAAAATATGTATTAAACCAAAAAGTATGCCAATCATTTCCTCTTTTTTATTTTTTGTGTTTAAAGTTTCTAATTAAACAGTTATTAGTTCTTGATTTATGGATCAAGACCTCTTTATATATATAGATGTCGTATGGTGTACGGTGATAATGAACTAGCCTATGTTTAAAAAAAAAAAAAAAAAACACCAACCCTAGTGTTGCTTGTCTTGGAAAAAAAAACAGTTTTTTTATATATGAAAAATTTTATTGTTGTCAGAGTAAAAGGAGTATTTCAACCTTTACTTTGTATTCTACCTATAATTTAATTGAGGTCTGAATAGCAAAAGGAAACACTCGTTGCTCGTAATGAATTTATTGTTGCAAGGAGGAAGAAAAAACAACGTGAAATTGAGTATGGCTTGAAAAAAAAAAAAAAAGAAAAAAGAAAAAGAAAAGGTGGACTTAGGGTGGCTAATCTAGAGAGGAGAAATTTAGCAATTTAGGTAAATGGTAGGGTAGGATATTTGTGGAAGCTGAAATTTTGTGGAAAAAGGTTATCTGAAGAAGCTATTATGCATATGGGTCTTCAATGGGGACATGTGAAGAGCCGGAGGTTTTCGAGCAGGAACGGAGCTTGACTAAGGTTTTTAAGAGTGACCGGCAAAAACTTTTGGCTGGAGAGACATTTCGCATGTAGAAAAAGTAGGATTTTGGAATAATGATCATTAGATTCATGAATTTGGCATTTCAATTGAAGGAGAAAATCAGGAGTACCCTCTAGAAGAATATTGCAAATTGGTGTTTGCTTGAAAAAAAAAATATTAGTCAAAGTAAATCTTGGAATTTTGATAGGCAAAGGCTATTTATTCTAGAAAACTATATGTTTTAGTTAGTTTGGCTATTAAAAACAACTAAAAACTATAATTGTTAATTGATAGTAGATAGAACAATTGATGATATCTATTACTTAATTATAATTATTTTATATCTGTCTATAAAAATATCTTTCTAAACACCATAACTAGTTGTTTAACCTTTTTTTTTTTTTTGGTAGAAAATAAAGATTGTATTAAATACACTACTAAAATTCAAGCCTTCAGCAACGTGGAAGCATGTTGCTGAAAGTGCTTTCCATATTGCTAAAAGTCCTTCAACAACATGGGTTTGGTTGCTAAAAGTTTTGTTGGAGAAGGTTTGGTGGGTAATACATTACCAACCAAAATCATGTTGCTAATATATCAGCAACATAAGCTATGTTGCTGAAAAAAAAGTATCAGCAACATAACTTACGTTGCTGAAAACTTTTACCGGAATCCGGTGGAGAAGGGAGGTGAATTTCCTCACTCTCTTCAGCAACATAAGCCACGTTGCTGAAAATGGGGTTTCAACAACATGGGTCATGTTACTGAAAATTAGTGGTAAACTACTAAAAATTAGTGGTAAACCAATGACCGGAACTTGGCCTTATTTTCAGTAACATAAGTCATGTTGCTGAAACTAGATTTTCAGCAACATGGCTTGTGTTGCTAAAAGTTAGGAGGGACTAGTTGATAGTGATTATAGGTGTACTATCAGCAACATACTCCTTGTTGCTGATAGTGAGCTAAATAGTAATCTCCATGCTTTCAGCAACATAACTCTTGTTGCTAATGTTTCAAAATGTCTAATAAAAAAATATTATACAGACTAATATTTTAAACACATATTATTTATTTTCACTTATATTATAATTAATATATTACATTAATTTCATATTATAATTA